CCTTGTGGGGGTCTAAGGTGGAGATAATGCCCAGTACCAATGACGGGGTTATGTGTAAGCCGCTCAGTAAAGGCCTCAGTTCTAAGAGGGAAGTCTGGTATGGGTACACCGGTGGAGTCGAGCGTTGAATTAAATGAGAATTTCCGAGCAAAGCATTCAGCCTTGTCGGTAGAGGAGGTCAAGACCTCGAACTGGTTGAATAAAGGAGGTATGGAGGGTTTTCGATTATTCAGGACACTCTTGCAGACTCGCCAATAATCTTTGGAGCCAAATTTGTGAGATGCAATACGTTCCTTCATTCGAGCAGCAAATATTGACTTAGCTTCGTTGAGGACACGCTTACACTCGTTACGGGCAGAGGCAAAGAGACGTCTATTGCAGTCCGACATGTCGCTACGGAATCGGTGAAAGAAGTGATTCCAGAGCCAGTATATCCGGGCAGTTTGCAGTGAGGAAAGATTCCAAACTGCAGAAGTTTGTTCTAATGCCACGGATGTTGGCGAACGAAATGTTGAGGGGGTTTAGGTGATTTTTTGGATTAGGTGCCAAGGGCAGATTTTTTGATTCATTTGAGTCTTCATGTTGAGTGATTGTTGGAAGATGAGAAGGCCTGAAGTATAGAGAAGCAGATGGTTATCTACCGCAACGTGAGCAGAGAGGAGTTGGCACAGCCTGCATCATAGTGTGGCCTCAGGGTTGCTCACCGGAGGTGACTGCAGGGACACCGATCCATGCGCGTCATGGCACTACAAACACCCCGGTATTATACAACTGTTGATCAGAGCGGCCGCTCAAGACGCTACGCAAGAGTTAGGGCTCCTAACTACCAGTCGGAAACAGCAACCAGTGAACTGTCAACCGTGTACCATCAAAATGAAGAGGCAATGCCACAGACTGCGCACATCACGGGAGAAACACATCAGTACTAGTACAGAGGCCAGAGAGAGAGAGAGAGAGAGAAAGTGCCGGGAACCCCTTCTAAGACAGGAAACAAGGTGTGAGCCTCTGCGCTTGTCCAGGGGAAGGGGGAGGAGTGTTGACCGTGCGGTAGGAGAGTCTACCTACTCCTATTACATATAACACATAACAGTGAAATAGACAAACAGATAAGGGCCGGGAAGTAGTTGGCAGTGCCCATTCTGGCACTATACGCGCGTTAAGGGGGATAGGATGGAATTTATTAGTATTTTATACTTATACAACACTAAGTTTTAACTTAGTATAAGTCCCAATGTTCTATTCTAAGGAAAGGGACATTTTTTCCCCTTTTTTTTCAGAGGTAGGGGGGGACGATTTCCAACTACACAAACAAGTTATCAGTTAGGTTAGAACAAGTATTAATGTTAAATTAGTCGGAGTGATCAAGCAACAATAGCTGAATAAAATAAATACGTAAAACATGAATATATATATATATATATATATATATATATATATAGAGAGAGAGAGAGAGAGAGAGAGAGAGAGAAATAGATATGCTATCGGATGCGTCTTTGGTAGAATGAATTTATACTCACACATGGCGGAAAGTTATTCTTCGTGTCAATTCGGTGGAACCAGTGATATATATATATATATATATATATATATATATATATATATATATATATATATATATATATATATATATTCACTTGTAGAATTGAACTCAGCCCAGTGACGTATATATGATGTAATAGGTTAAAAAAAAGTAGTTAGCTTGGACAGTGTTGGTGTTTGACAGTTGGAATTACTCTAGTATCAACAGGTAATACAATAGCTGAAAGGCAGCAATATCAAGGGTGGTAAGCAACTAATATTGCGAATACATAAAATAAAAAAAAATGTCCTTTATTTTATACTTGTTTCTAATAAATAATACTTGTTTCTTCAGTTTGATATTTCACTATTTAAAAAATCAATGCTGCATGAGGTGCAAAAGCTGATGTAATAAGTATCAACACCAAAAATTAGATTTATAGCTTTTATCAATGTTTGAGCATTTGGATTTAAAGATCCTCTTTAAAAATGTACAGAAATAACTAATTCCCGCAAGTTTTTGCTTACAAACTGACTAAAAAGTTTTACTATTCCAAGAATAAATTCAAATAAAGTTGATATTTTTTTATTAGATACATTGAATGGAAAATATATTCAAACCAGAATTTTAATTATGAATCGCAAGGGAAATATGCAATTTTCTACTGTATTCGACTGTAAAAATTATAAATGTTTGCAAAAAAGGACAATCAATGAGTAGGTTCTTATACAATTTAATAAAAACAAAAATAGATAAAAGCGTATACAGCTACTTGAATACCAATGCAGATGTTACTTTCATAGTTCTGAACATGCTTCTGATGGGTGGTTACTTTTACTTGAGCCTTTTCCCTGTCTACTTTTGACTTAGCAATTCTTTAAGTTAAATCTTGGATAAAGAAAGCCCATATGTTGTAGGTCTAATAAAAAGGCATTAGCAAGCCATGTCCCAAGCTTAGAAGATACATCACTCGTAATAATTTCCATAGCCTATCTAGAGGCTGTAAGTTCCTCTTGGCTCAAACTCGTCATCGGTTGTTTCTTCACAGGAAGACATTGGTGGAAAATATCTGAAGTAGAGGCACCATGTGTAGAATAATGTTGTTATCTTTCAATCTACCTGGCTAATCTCTCTGCTACAGCTGTACTATTATATATATTTTGATAGCTTAGTCAATAGTTCGAAATTGGGATCTGCCTTTTCGTCCAGTTTTTCTCTCTGAGCTTTTAAATATTCCCTTTCTTCAAAGGGAACCTGAAATTTCAAAATGTGTTTATATTTTTAAAAACAGATCTAGCATACATGATAAATATGAAGGAAATATTACAATATTATCAGAACTAAATTTATATTTTTCAATTAATTTAAATATGGAAAATCAGGACAATATCTAGTTCAAATTAAAGAAAGAAAAAATGAAAAACAAGCATAGAAGTAAAATTAACTTAATAGATGACACGTTGACTCTACGGGCGTCATTTACATAGCTAAACTTTATAGCCTGTTGCACGGTTTAAGATTTGAGGGAAAAATAATCACTAGCTAACAAAATTACCGTGTATGAGTCAGTAGATAGAAAATATACATCTCCAGTCTCTCGAAATTTTGAAAGAGCTACTTTACTCTAGCTCATATTCACGGCCATTTCCAGGATCTTCATTCTTGTTTCTTTTGTGATTTTAGCCTAATAATTTTAACGCAAATAATACTGATGTAAATAACATTAACAACGCTAAAATACGAATTATTTCACTGCAAAGTAGTCTAACTAGCTATTTATGTAGGATAGTGAATGTTTTACCTTAAATTTTAAAAAAGCCGCAACAGACCACGACGTTTAGTCATGTAAATGACACTAGTAAAGTCTTTTAAAAGAGGTGCAAAACATGCATTTACAAGTAGATAATTTATTAAAAATTATAATTCAAGGTAACTTATGAAAACATACAGGATGATAAATTGGTTAATATTAGCAGTATCATCATACTAGACAGATACGACCAATTTGATAATTTTTTAGATATCATATATACTTGGAAGGAAATTTGGAATTTAGTTATAGTATAATATTTGGTACGTATTCCATAGAGTAAATGCGCTTTTAGTTTTAGAATAATCAGTTAAAATTACAAAACATTGAAAAGAAGAAAAATGTTTGTCCACATGATGATAGAAAAAACACTGACAAATTCGCGAAATAATGATGGCACTACTTAATGGAATAGAAGTAAAATTACAATTGTAAAAAAATGTAGGAATTTACCGTCCAATGTTTGAGAGTATATCATTCTTAAAAATGAAATAAAGAAACAAACGCGTTATTAGGGTATAGTATGAAGGTCACCAGTTACCAAAAAAGAAATATCAGTAACATTGTTTACTTTTTAAAGAGCCCTTTCTTTCTTCGCATTCTACTTCACTAGAATACTAGGTATATTAAAAATAAATACAAAAAGGGGAAATATGGGAAGTTAACATTGCTGCAAGACAGTGCTTATAAGTCTCCTGATGAGGAAACAAATCGATGCAAACGGATACCCCATAGTAGATTTTCAGTAAAATTAAAACCAAGATAGTTGATACGAAAGCAAGCGCGAATCAAAAACATATGAAGAGGAAGAAATACAAATAAGAATGACAAGACAAAGATGACTTGTTGCATTTGTATTGCTATTCATAACATCATGCTCATCTTGGTTACTATATTTACAAAATATTGAACGACATTATTCCCTCGCATGGATTTATTTCTTAATCTTACAGCTATTGCCAGCGTAGATACTGAATGGATGAAAAATAAAATAATCATCTCATGACACATGTAAAAGAAATAAACCAGGAAGCAAATAATCAATTTAGCCTTTCAATCATTCTCCCTCCAATATTCTCTGATAACCACTTCCCATAAGGCAAGGCAGACTGTTTTCTGAGTGTCCTCCTCTTGTACCCGCCTATCCCCGTTTTTTTTTGGGGGGGGGGGGCTGCTGCTATGTACCCAGGGTAATTGTTACGTTGTAGGGTACTACTTATATTGACCAACTAGAAGCATGGCCCGGCGTTGCCCGGGCTTGATTCAAAATTCGTACGACTCATACAGCAATTTGATTTAAAATATTTTTGCCCTTCCTTGCCTTTAAATGAGTGCCCTTTGCCGTGCTGATGTTGCTACATGCCTTACTTCTTGCCTATCTCACACTGCGAATTTTTTATAAGCTCTATACTAAACATTAAATCTGTTACGAAAAAAGAACTAAACAAAATGAACACAAAACGATCAGCTTTAAAAAAGGACTCGTAACTGGAAAAACCGAATGAAAAAAGAATGTTAACAACAAATACTTTTTTACACCCAACCCAGTTTCCTGAAATATTGAGACCGGTCATACTACTTGGGCGGGGTTGTTGTTGTTGCCCTTGTTTTGTTAACCCGGTACTTTGGAAACTATACAAAAAATAAGAAAAATGGAATGGAGTTTGCGTATCACTGGCTGAGGACTTCAGTGTAGACCACATTTTTAGCTTTTTGCGAGGGTGAATAAAGGAATACATCCTCGCGCCTGCCGACTCGAGAGAAGGCAACGTAAAGTTGGCCGTGTGAGAAGCACTGCTCCTCTAAGTGTACACCAGTGACAGACAGCGTTTGTCTTTGGGCCTTATTAATTGTCATAACAAAACAGGGTGCGACTGGGAATTGAGATCTTCTGAAAGTGAAGGGTACGTCGGAATCTGATGGATAAAAATGCATCCTTGAAATAAGCACTTGCTCCACTTTACCGCAGTCAGTTATAATTTTGGCCTCAATAATGTTTGGGTGGAAGGCCTGAATAACCATCCTGATCCCATTACAGAGTTTCGGTGGACGCAGGTTTCTAAGCAATATAACCGGGATCTCCACTTTAAGTTCCAGAATGTGAGGAGGGAGACCAGCGGGGATTTAAGAACTCCAGTGGAAAGTTCGCCATTTCTGGAGTTCTGTCAGTGGATTTGTAAACGTGCAACACCCCTGGTACAGATTCCAGAAGCTGTCTATTAAGGGTTGTCACATTGGTTTTTTGGGGGGGCAAGAATGGCCCGCCTAGCAAGCCACTCAATATTGTTGTAGTTGGTTTAAAGATCAGAAAAAACTGATTCCCTGAGTGTTGCTGGCGTTGTGACCACTGTAGACAACCCTTGGACGTTTACAAATCCATTAGTGTCCGCTGGAATAATACCTTCGCCAAGGGATAATAATGAATTCGAAAATTCGGCGGACCCAACATCGCCAGTTAGGTGTGCACGCATGTTGGTGGTAAGGTTCAATGGTCTAACAGTGGGCCTAAGTTGTGACGATTTCAAGCACGCTCGAATAGCGTCGGCCCTTGTCCCCTTAGGTACAACGGGAAGGGTCTGGCGAAAGTCACCGGATAGAAGTCAGTTATACCTATCATAAGGTCATCGGAGTTTTGAATATCCTTCAGAGAGCGGTTTACAGCCTCGAGTGCTGTTTTGGGACTGACAGTGCGCTCATCCCAGATGATGAGCTTACATCGCCTGAGCACCACCGCTAGACCTGATTACTTGGCTATACTGCATACAGCTGTTTCTGTCTTAATCAGGTCAAGCGGAAGTTTAAACGTTGAGTACACTGTTCGGCCACCCAGTAGTAATATGACAGCAATGCCTGAAGACGCTACTGCTAGCGCCACTTCCCCATGGCGCCGAATTTCTGCAAGAAGCAGTTTTGTTACGAACGTTTTTCCCGTTCCCCCAGGCGCGTCCAGGAAGAACATTGATCCTGTATCCTGCCTGATGAATGCAAGAACCGCATCGTAAACGGCCCTTTGCTCTATGAGAAGTTTTGGCTCATTTGTTGTTACATAGGCGTTGAGCTCATCAACAGAGTAGGATGTCTCCCGCACAATCTCCGGTGATAGACTAGAGGAAGCCACACGATCTGGCATTGGAAGCCCAATAGCGGCGAGAGATCCTCCCCCCCCCATTTCAACAAACAGGTTCTCAATGATTATAAGCGCCCTGTTGTAAATTTCATCGTTGAATGTAAGAGCCATTGTTGGACACAGCAGTTGCGCTTCTCTGAGTATGTCTTCGGACAAAAAGTCCTTGTATTTGTCCCAAAGTGATTTGGGATCACTGGGTTCGCACATTTGTAAGATTGTGGTGAAGAGGTGGCGCAAAGCAGAGGGAATTTTTAAAAGAGCTCCCTCAGCCATTGTAGCATCCCACTGGCTGTCGTCTTCCAAAAGGCCGAGACGGAGGCAGGCCTTACGAAAAGTGTCACATCTATTAACCGTCCGTAAGTTATTGTAGCTCGTTGGATCACTAACTTCGTGCAAAATGAGTCGCACGTAAAAACATTCATGTCGCGATGGGGGAACCGTGAATACCCTTCCGAGTGTGGCGTCTTTTTTGACGCCTGGATAGCCCTCGACGTTGGCCCCGCATTTCCGCCGAGCCCAGGTGTTCTTTTTTGTCCACACGTAATATGAAGGCACGTCTGTGGACAGCAGAGTCTTAGCAAACTCGTCCTGTCGACAAAGATTGAAGAACGCTGTAAGCATTGTATCTTTGGTACGCGCAGCCACATCTATTGCTGTATCCGCAGAAAAATAACGATTGCTGGGAAGCGTTCGTGGATGGAGAAGCTGAATATGTGCCAAGAACCCTCTGTGCTACTAATGACGCGCCCTGCAAGGAAGTCCTGGATTTCGTCTACGGAACCTTCCTGCCTAATACCAAACATTGCAGCATCAGTCCCTTTGTTGATGTACTTGCATACATACTTGATGGAGCGAACTGAATGGCAATATTCGACATTGATGCGCGCATTGAACGCTTTTGTTAGTAAGGGACAGTATGGCACTACTCATCTGTTATCCACTTGGTGGCCCTTTACCACGGCTGTAAATGCTCCCTCAGTGGGACTCCTTCGCCGGTACAGTGGATAACCATCGCTCCCTGTAATGGCTTCGTTCACGAAATCTCTTGGGTACTGCCGGGTGCATTTGCCGTCGCTGTTGTGACAGCTGGTGTAATTGTAATGCGACCCGCAGGGACCATCAATCATGTTGGTTGTCACTATTTTGTACAATTCAGGGTCAGCCGACGGATCAGGAATTTTAGCAGAAATAAGATGATCGATTTCTGTGGCCTCAATCTTGTCGTACAGCCAAATTAGTATATGTGCGTGAGGCAGGCCACGTTTCTGCCACTCAATAGTGTGCATACGACAGCAAACAGCCCCAAAAACCTGGCCCTTTTTAATCACATCCATTAGCTTTCCCAACTTCAGATGGTAAACGCGCGCAATGAGGTCTGGACTGGCATAAGTTATTTCGCAATTGCATACCATTTTGGGTTACACGTGAAAGTTATGAATAGGTCTGGTCGACCGTACTTACGAACATATGTCATCGCGTCTTGCGTCGTCGCGTGCATGTATCGTGGACTGCCTGTGAACGTTGCATCTTGCCTATATTGCGTAAATCAGCGTCATTTCGTAAAGCATCACGAAGGTGAATGTAAGAGTCGCAGCGCAACTTGGTCTGATTCAATCTGATGTAACAGAGTCTTTCGGATTCCATCTTAGCATGTCTACTATGAATTGATGGAAAAGTTGCCGGCTTCGATGAAGATGATTGAATTCACCCTCATATACAATGCCAAAGTGGTACCCATCTTCTCCGTAAGGGAAGAGAAGTGGGTAATTGCAGTGCATCGTAGGATCTGTGTTTCACTGATTCTTCGGAGCCCACTGCCGCGCGATTCGAAAAAATGTCACATCTGTTGTGCTGATGACCAATCTGTTGATTGAGTAAATACGTAACTTGCGACAGCAGTTAACTGTCTAATAGCAAAACTGAACTACGAAATGGTAGAAATAGGTACAGAACGCTAAGATGGACTGGGCTGCGCAGTAGAGGCAACACGCGGAGATAAAATGGGTAATGCAAACATTTAAGCAAATCGGTAACTTGCGGTAGCAGGAAGCTGTCAATTAATCCAAGGACAGATGCGTTAATGGCGATCAAATCAAGACGTGAGTGCGAATGCAGCTGCGCTGAACGTATTTAAAGGGAGCGTGACTTATCATTGATTGGTGTAGTCTGGACAATGGCCATGACTTAGACCAATGAATGAACTCACGAAAAATGGAAGATGCTAGCGTGCATTCACGCACGCGCGCATGATTTGGCAAGCGCAAGGCTTGGCCGTAAACGAGGTCAAGCTGCCTGCTGCATATGTAGCTTGGCTCTAATGCACGTGATGCCGGCGATGAGCATGCAAGGAGCTGCAATGAAGAGTTTGTTCGTTAAGCCGCTAACCGTTTGCCGGCATTAGCTTTGAAATGGAGTAAGGAGGAAGCCCTGCTGTTTTAGCGCAAAAATTCGCTAAAAACCGACATGCGGTTCAGGCGCAATCTGGGCGTATCGGTTTTTGAGTTTTATCGATTTTCTGCGCTGTTTAGGGGTCTGTGATCATGAAACTTCTGGACAACACTTATAATGGTAGACTCTAAGAGGGTGTCAAATTTGGTTGAAATGCGATCATTCCTTCTGGAAGCAGATTTTTTCGATTTTTTCGGAACCCGAGTCCGAACTCAAAAATCGGGCTCCGTCATGTCCTTATGGCAGCCATTTGCAAACTTGTGGTGAAAACCGCATCGAAATCGGGTGAGAAATGCGGTCTGGGCGAGGTAACAACGCCCACGACAGACACACAGACAGACAACATGAGAAATATAGGTAGTAGATATATTCTTTATCTAATGTCTCTGGGTCGCCACTTATAATTTTTGCTCAGTGTTGTAAGCAGCGGACGATCCCTTTCTTTACGTTGTATGGATGGTGGGAGTTGAAATTGAGGTACTGCCCGGTGAATGTCGGTTTACGGTATACGGATGTCTTGAACCCATGCTCTGTTCGAGATATTAGAACATCCAGGAATGGGCGTGTGCTGTTACTCTTTCTCCATCGTGAACTGTATCGAAAGTCCTACTGAGTTCACATGGTCCAGTAGAACCTGAACATCTTCCTGGTGTGGCCAGAGTCATGAGATGAATGTTTCATCTACGTACCTTAACCATAGAGTTGGCTTTAGAGATATAGATTCTAATGCCATTTCCTCACAGTATTCCATGTATATATTCGCTATTGCTGGTGATAATGGTGAACCCTTTGCTAAGCCCTCATCCTGTCGACATATGTGTAATTCCATTCCGAAGTGTGTTTGTGTGGAGAAAGTCAACATCTCCATTCACCGGACAGTACCTCAATTTCAACTCCCACCATCCATTGTTTATCTCCTTCCATTTATTCGTCTGCAAATTGAAAATTATCTCTTTTAATACGTTTTACATGCAGTGAATTTCTGAGGGGTTTATTTTTTTTATACCTTAACAGTCACTCAAATAATTTGTGTAAATACATAAGTTACATACAAATAAATATCAATCTATGGCTACGATAATGGCACTCCAATTTTTTCGATCATTAAAACTATTTTCCTGTTCTTGACAACATTTTGGTTTAGTTCAGTTGTCTGAAAATATGTTGCAATAGATCTCTGATTAAAAAATAGTCTGTATCATTTATTACATCTTCATATGACAAATTTCCTATTTTTCTATTTTGAATTCATCGGTTCTTAAAAGAACGTTTTATATTGTTTTACTTTACTCTCCTAGCAATGGTTTTGTCTGAGAAATTCGTGAATTATCTTGAGAAATAATTTTTTACAAGAAGGGTATGATAGGTATGATTAAGCAAGTTACTTACATGGTAATTGTTAATATACAAATGATGCTGGTAATATTTTCAGGATAAAGTTATTTGAATTTTAACTTATCTGAATAGACTTTCTGAATTTCAACTTATATATTTTTATGATATATTTTTACACAAAACATATTTAGTGAGGGATAATCTTATTATTCAACACGATCTTTGTTCATCATAATGTAAATAAATATATATGATAGAATAGCTATTAATATTTATGTTAAAGAGAAACGTTAAGAATCTAAAGAGGCAAATTATAATAATTATCTTTAGTTGTGTACATGATGCCCACCTACGGGTGTCAGTTATCATTTTAAAATATTAAGAATGAAAATAATTTTAAAAAGTATACTTGCAGGTAATCAATATTGCCAAGCCAGGCACAAGTCTGCTTTATTTTATTTTGCCCTGGAAGAGCAGAGCAGTTGCCATATTCAGAAATATTTTATGTTTTCGAAAATTAACTCTTATATACGGACATGATAGTGACATACTAGTTTAAAATTAATCATATAGCCACCATGACACCTAATTAAATAAATTGATATTTTCTTAATCGGATTTTGTCAAAATCCTTTAATTCGAAATTCTTTTCTATTCTTTTCAGTTTGTTAAATATCTACAGAAAGAGAGGTGATTCGTGAATTCTAGAAATATACACCAGAACTTAATTCGCGTAAGTAAAACAAAAAAATATTTGCTTTAATGACGTCTTAACAGAAATGTTGATTCCATTCTCAAACAATCGTCACAATAAGCTAACAGATTAAACAAACAATAAAAAGCGATACCTGGATATATTCAATGAAAATGCGTACTTACACCAAGGATTATTCAAATGTTTTTTTTTTCTTAAAAGAAATGTTCCTTTCCCAAGCTAACATTTCTAAAAAAAAAATATTGTCATGCACCATAAAAACTTAAAAATCAAAAGAAAAAAGTTAACTCATAAACTTTAAAGATTTATTAAATAAATAAATGAAATTAATAAATAAATAATTACATAAAAATAAATAATAGTTACATAAAAATCATTAACAACACATCAACCCATTTTCATTTAATAAGCTGAAAAATTACATCAGTTAACGTCCTCCATAATTTATCTTATTTTATAAATTAAGCTTTTAGAGCGATTTCTTATTCAATTTTATATTCCATAATTAAATCGTATTTTGGCGAAAAAAGTAATGACCTCTTCGGTTGTCAACCATTAAAAGTTAGCAACCTCTTATTTCAAAGATTGTAAATGACTCCAGCTGCATACAAAAAAAATTACTATCGGGATATTTAATGCGAGATGACCTGTTAAAAAACAAAACAAAAAACAAAACAAAAAACAAAATAAGAAATGCGTGAATTATAAGCTCGGGACGTTGATAGTTATAAAAGTGATTGTGTTGTCTCCAAGAAACCAAAATCAAAAAAGGTTTTGATATAAATATTGGAGTTAATAGCTTTAGAAATAGTAAATATTATGGAAATGTTCTTGTGATCATTGCCAAATGGGAGAATAAAATCATAGACATTAAGCAAACTGGGATGCACATTCAAATGAATATTAAAAGCACTATCAATTGCATCATTCCTCGTAAAATTTTTGAAGATTGGAATACCTGCAGCACTTTCTTAATGTATCAAAACACACAGAGGTTTCGAAAAGAAACAAAGTCGCTGAAGATGCGAAATCGCACTTGTTTACAGAGTGCCTTTAAGTCAAAACAGTTATGATGATGATGATGATGATGCTGATGATGATTTTAATTCAAAATTTGAAAACTTAATACACTTAGATTTTTTTTAATGTGCAGGTCAATTTTTAACTTACTAAAATAATCCCTAAAATCGCTCAAATCCCTTCAAGATGGCACTCCAAGTTAGCCCCATTTACACGAAACAATCCCGCTATATTCGCCTAGTTTTAAGGTGTTGTCCGTCAAAGACAACAAATCTGTCTCCATCGTGATATTAACCATAAGTTTATGCTTTAAGTGTGCGACAAGTTGATAGGAAGAAACATGCAAATCGTCAGGGACTTCTCGTCAATAATATCACCTTTTTCATCATGAAAAAATACACATTTTTTTTCTTGTCTCAGGACCGATTTCACAAGCAAAAACTAGCTGCAAAATATGCGAACCTTCGTAGAGGTCGTACGATTATGCACTGAAAGAATGGGTACTTCCATATTACTAAAAAGAATGCATTCTAGTGAATTAGTTCCCCCAATGAAGATATTTTGCCGGATCAAAGAACGCCGAATCATCAAATGTATTTGAAACTCGAA